GGCTGTGTGTGTGTGTGTGTGTGTGTGTGTGTGTGTGTGTGTGTGTCCTGGTCCCTGCAGTGCTCTTGGCAGTTTTTCCGTCCTGAGGCTGCTGGAGCAGATGCACACACAATCACACACGTCCTACACAGTGACCCAGATGCACACACATATGCCTTCATACCACACAGGCACACACCGACAGTGGCACCAATGACCACTGATGCAGTGACGTGAAGGCACACAGATGCTTCCACATCATACACACGCACAATGACAGATGCACACGTGTAGATACATATGGATGGTGACACAGGTGAGTACACAAATGCTGACATACACTCTGCACTATACATACACAGTAATACACACACACATACCCCTTAAACCCTCACCTCCCCCCGACAGAGGGTGGGCTGTGTGGGGCACAGCAATGGTGGGTGCAGTTCCTCTCTTTGGCATAAGAGGCCCTGTAAGTAGGCCACCTGGGAGGCCTCCTATGGCTTTGCTGTTCTTGAGTGGGGCTGGGGTCTCTGGGCTCTCAGAAGATCAGGGAGAGGGGTACAGAGCACATTTACCAGGGGATACTCTGAGACTCTCTGGTGGGGTTGGGCCAAGTCGCTGGCCAAGCCTCTCTGTTGTTTCGAATCCACCAGCTGCTCCATGGGAGAAAGACTGGCAAACGTCTGTGTGATGAGTTGGCTCCAAGTTCATACAAGGAAGAATATTTTGAGGCCAGCGTTTGGAAAGCCAGGCAGCTGAGAAGTCAGGGCAGATTCACCTGGCAGGTGGTCTCTGGATTTATAGCCTTCCCTGGGCCTTGAACTACCTTTGAAGTTCAGTGGCAGGAGGTCAAGAGGTGGAAATAGGGGATCAAGGCTGGTGGCACTCTGTCTAGCCACTTTGTCATCAGACTGTTTACCCCTGGGGTGTTCTGGGGGTACAAGCCATATTGGCACTGGAGGGATGTGGGGGAGTAGGACCCAGAGTAGAGTCTTAGGCTACTTTGCAGAGAGGCAGAACAGGCTGGAAGCCTTGGGTTGGCCTTACACAGACCCCGCACGCCAGCCCCCTATATCCTGGGCCCAGTGCAAGAACAGCCCTGAGCCCCAAGGACCACACAGGAGTCATGGAGTCCAGCCAAATAGAAGCTTTATTAGTGATGCTGGATTCCTCACATACTTGACAGTGACAGAGGTATCCCCAGGGTCCCATGGAAGGCCCTGGGTGTGGGGACAACACTGTGCAGCGTTTATACTGGAATGATATAAATAAGCTTTGGTGTATACGTTTTTAGGACAGAGTATATAGGTTAACACTGCGTTACAAACACTTCACACAACACCAGCTCTCAATGTAAATTGGGTTTTTGGCGGAGGGGACAACTCCTAAGGGATTCGATGCTCTGGGTCCCTTCATTGGCTGCTTGAGGCCCACACGAGGCAGATGTCTAGGGCTGGGGCTCTGCCTGGCCCTGCCGCTTGGCCTTCATTTGCAGGTACCGCCCTTTGCCTTCCTCAAAGCGTTTCTTCTCATCCTCTGTCTCAGGCTGCAAAGACACACAGAAAGAGTCTGGTTAGAGGCCAGTACAATGTAGGCTCTGTGGCCTGGACTCAGAGAGCCAGTGGCCCTGCCCAGAGCGCTAACTGCCTGTCCCTTCTGGGCAAAACATTCTGGGAGGATTCAGAGGCCCTGCCCCTCTGGATGATGGTGGCCTTCCTACCTGTGAGGGGCCCAGGGGGTCTGGATGGCTGGATTCTGGGAGGGAACACTGAGAAAGAAGGTCTACATGCAATCTAGCATGGGGGTGGCGGGGGGCAGTAAAGAAGCCACAAATAGCTGCGTGGACTGTGCCCATGTCACTGGTCTTTGCAGGTAGAATTGCACGCTCGTCTCTGGTGATGAACTTCAGTTGGAAAACTCCCTTGAGGATAAAATTGTGTGTGTGTGTCTTAATGGGGGCAGCAGAGATCTGTACAAGCGTAGTTAACACGTCAGGTCACAATATAGCTGCGTGGCGGTGCCTCCTCTGTGGACAAGGGACAGCACCGTGGGACATCATCACATTTGCTCTGTGAGGCTTCCTTCCTCTAAGAAACTTTGGAGGATTACACAAGACCCTGGTGCTCAGGGTGAGAGGCAGGCTGACCAGGTCAGGTTTGACGATTTGCGCTTGATTGCTAACCTGAAGATTGGCAGTTTGAATCCATCCAGCTGTTCTGTGGAAGAAGGGTGTAGCAATCTGTTTCCATTAGTACCATGGCCAAGAAATCCCCGTGGCTCACACAGGTCTACTCTGTCACAGCAGGAGGCCACCATGAGCCAGCTAGTCACCCGCCCCTGATGGCAACAGCCTGGCATACACACACCGACTGCCTGAGGATGATACATGGTACCCTCTTGCTCTCAAGAGTGGCTTCATTTTGCTGAATCTCATGGCCCTGGAAGATGCCACTGTGGTGGCATTGGTGGCTACTTTCAAAGGTCTGGTCAGTCCCACCACAAAGTCCTCTCCAGTCGAGTCTAGCCTGGGACTAGGCTTTGTTGAGCTGCGTCAGTTCTCTGGTAGGACACTTCGTGAGTGTCTCAAAGCCAAGGAAATGGGGCAGGTGCCCTTCATCCACAATGACACCAAGCCTGGCTGCTATTTTTAGGCCAAAGTGTTTTCCAGACAAATGGTAGATTGGGAAGTAATGTCAGCTTAGACCAAATAGTCCCTCCCCTTCAGCCGCCTCTGAACGTGTGCTCCAAATGTCACCAGGTGTAAACTGTCAAACCTCTCGAGCTTGGAACCAATGGAACTTTCGGGTATTTAAGGAACGAGGCTTGGGCTTCTTACAGCCAGGCTGCCTCCCGTTTGAAGCGCCTCTGGGGTGTGCAGGAGAAATGGTGGCTTTTCCACGGCTCTTTATTGAAGAAGTCCCTCCTGCTGCTCTGGTTTCATCTCTGACTGACAATTTTAATGAAATTTTCTGAGGTGAAATGCCATTTGATTCGAAAAAACCTGGAGAAACAAGCTGTTCTGTCTCCCTTTAGTGGGCAGATCTGAGGAGGGGAGACCTTTGTGCTTCAAGGAGGCTGGAGGGCTCGGCACGGAGCCTCTGCTACCCAGGCTCTGCTGGCCCTGGTGGGCATGGCCATATCCTGGGGCTCCTGTGGGCTGCGGCTGCAGGAGCTGTGAGCACCTGGGCACAATGCTCAATCATCCATGGGCACATGAACTACCAAAGGCTCACACCTGTGTACTTGGGGTCAGCAGGTACAGGGGGCAGGGACGGAGACCCGTCGATTCCAGCAAGCACCAAGTTGTGACAATGCTGCTGGCCCAGACCATGGACCACTCTCTGAGTGGAAGTTCATCCGACCTGTGCAAACGGGGCTGTGGGAGTGACCAAGAATGCAAGGCCAAGGCCAGCAGGCTAGGACGCGAGGGCCTCTCCTTCTCTTCTGGTGCTTGCTCGGGTGTGGCGGGAGAAACCTCTGGCCCTTATTTCTCAAGCGGCAGCCAAAGGCCACGTTGCAGCTGGAGGAGCAGCTGTAGCCAGTCCTTGGGAGAGGGGGGTCCGTCGAGGACACGGCAAGCACTGTGGGGCTTGGGTGGGGTCCTGGGGAGGCTGGGAAGTGGGAGTTGGGGCCTGGTGCAGGGTTCTGCTGTTTCTGGAGCAGCAGCCGCCACTTGGGCTTGGAAAGAGGAGGATGAGAGAAGGGGAGGGGGACAGATTCAAGAGTGTGTTAAGGATCCACCAGTTCTCAAAGCCAGGCCCCTGGGCTGGTGTTCGGGCGCTGGCCTCTCTCGCTGGCGGCACATTTGCCTCTCAGGGAAGGAAGGCTGGAGACATGGAAAGGAAAAGAGCTGGTGCCAGGCTTAGAGAGGGATGCCACGCTGGGAGGGGATGGGTGCTTCTCCCTTAGCCAGCCTGTGGAGGTCAGCCTCCCTCCTGTGGCCCAAGAAGCATGCAGACGTGGGGGGCTGGCAAGGAACCTGGGTCCACCAAAGGCTCTGGGAGCTAACGGAGAGGTGGCAAGGGGTTCTGTGAAGCTACCACCTTGAGCTTTGGAGCCACCTTCGGGATGCCCTGGATGCCAGGCGAGTATGGCCCACCCAGGGCCTGGCCCTGAGAAGATGCTGCTCGCTGGGGTCATGGGGCCAGCAGTTCACGTCAGGGGTCTCCACTTGAAGAGGGGGCAGCAGTTACTGGTAGTATAGTCCCACCCTTTGCACCTTTCTAAAACCAGCACTAGGCACTCACTCATATCACCACTCTTTCCCAAGCCTCCAGCAGGATGAGGCCAGGTAGCACTTCCCAGATAGGCCTGACTCCCATTTAAAAAGCCTTCACCTGCTCCTTCAGACAGATAAGAGTTGGAGCCGCTGCATCTCTGCACTGCTATTTTAAGTCTATGGCCAAATAGCCTCTTACAATCAACCCTTTTTGTGGGAAGAGACCTTCTGAGAATCTGGGAGTGCAGAAATCTGCTTAGCCAGCCTTTCCCCAAAGTGTCCTAGCTAGGAGCCTCTTTCCCCGAGGAACACTCAGCACCCCACACCCTAGCCTTTGATGAGTGAGAAGAGCTGTCCTTTTCTCCTGCTACCAAGTTGCTGCATGTGCCTCTGAGCCACAGGTTATTCTCAGAAGTGTGTCCTGGCTCTGCCAGGCTTTTGGAGCGGGCTGCCTCCCACACAGGCCAGTGACCAAGCTTGGGGCACAACTGGTCGACCTCAGAGACCTGTCATACCATACATATATGCCCATCTTGAAGCGGCTTCCTTGTTCTGACTGGACTAACTGTATGCTTGAGTCTAACTTGCCTAATTGCCTGTCCTGTAAAATGGGCCAGTGTCTACCCTGCAAGGTTATTAGGATGACCATTTCCCTCCCAATGGTCCCTGTCAACATCTCTCAACTCACTGCTGTCAAGTCAGAATTGACTTATAGCTGACCTTCCTGTAAGTTTCCAAGCCTATACACAGCAGAGGAAAAAACTGCCCATCTTTCTCTCCCAGAGCAGCTGGTGGATTTGAACCAATAGAGAGGAAAGGGCTTTGGGTTAGCAGTGCAATTCACTAAGGACTGTGTCATTAGTACTCCTACTGTCAACATCAGTCATTAAAAACAACAAAGAAAGCAAAATCACAGCACATATCCAATCCTCTTTATGAACAGCTGTCTCCTTTACTATGAGATCAAAAGAATTGGATAGTGCCCCCGAAGAATTGGATAATGTTCTTTACTAGAACATCAGAACAAAGATTCTCTAATAGAATCCTGCTCAAAAGGGGGGGAAATGATCTCAAGAACATGAAAACAGCCCAAATGTTCAACGACAATCAAATGGATTGAGAAATTATGGTACATTCACATGATGGAGTACTATGCAGCACGCAGGAAAAATGATTTTGTAAATCACTACCTAACTTGGGAGGGACTGGAGAGCATTATGCTAAGTGAACTAACTCAGTCCCATAAGGACAAATACTGTATAAGATTATTCTAGAAATAGGCAACTAGTGAAATGTGTGTATGAGGATCGAAGGGGAGAAGGATAAACTGAGGAGGGGAAACAGGTCGCACAATTTGATGGTGGAGGGTGCGGTGAGTAAAGGAAATGGGGAAGATCCAGTGTGAAAAACAATGTATACAAACTTTGTAAGTAAACCAGTATAAAATAAATTTTTCTTTAAAAAAAAAGGGTGGGGAGTGGGGAAATGATGAAAAGAATTTCAAAATTTAATAGACTCCAAACTTTCCAAAGCCACTGAGGGCAGATGACCTCAAAATTATTACCTGGGGAAATCTTTAAACAATGAATCTAAACTATCCCCCGAAGTCATCTTGGAGCCAAATAATTGTTTAGCCTAATTAGGAAAGAATGTCTGCATTAAGAATTATAATTTCCCCCCTATTTTTTAAAAATTTTAAATTACAAGCATTGTATTTTGTATTTTTTTATGGCTCATAATTTTTTTACCGCATATTCTTTCCATTTCATTCTTCCCACCATTCATTCATTGTTGCACATTTACCAATCTGCCTACCCCTGCCCCACTGCATTGAAACAGATGAGGGAGAAACTGTTTAAAAGGAATACAGGATTAGGTATTATTGTCATGACAAGATTGCAGAAAAAGAAATGCACAGTAAAGTGAACTGTGGACTTGTTGAAGCAGTAGACATTTCATAAAAAGAAAAAAAGAAAGGAGTCACAAAGTAGGATGTAGGATTCGGTTGATGTGAAAATCTCAAATAGGCAAATCCATACCACCACAGTGGTCCAGCTCCCGCTACATTTCTACAGAAAATACTCAAGTGTCCTGGAGCAAAGGTGCAAATGCAAAAGTCAAGGTGGGAAAGGACTGGTAGCCCCACCCCTGGCTTAGTGGCTGCAGGGAGTGCTCTGCTGGGCTCATTTCAGGGGGTGCCCAGGAGCAAGCTTAGAACCAAACCCACTGTCATCAGGTTGGTTCTGACTAATAGTGACATGCTCCATTGTGTTTCTGAGACTGTAAATTAACATGGGAGGAGAATACGAATTTTTTTTCCTGTAAAG